TTTCTTACTGTAAGAAACCTCAAGTTCTGAAGCTTTTGCCTCCGGAAAAATACTAGTAAGTGATCCCAATGCATTCTCATTTAAAGTTCAAACTTGCGAACCAAAAATATCACCTTCAATGAAAGATGTCTCAGCCGTTTTTGAACACTATTCTTGCCCCCTTTTCATTGTCGTCATTGGAATTTCTTCGCCTGAGGGTCCCGGAGTTGAATTCTCATCTGGTTGAAAAGGTGTTGTTGCATCTCCATCATCTTCATCGTCGGCTTCATCATCATGAGTATGCTCTGCTAGAAGATCAGTATCTCCAAAATCTGTAATTTTTAAAATTTCTATTATGTTACGTGCACGAATGACCAAGAAATGTCTGCTAATAAAACATCTATAAAAAATAGACATCCGAGTACGATATAAGGCACGCTAAAAAAATGTAACAGCAAGCAGTTATCCATTTTAACTATTACTTAATTAGTTTTACACTGCTTAATTTACTTAGGTTAAGATTAAGTTAAGCAGTTCGTAAAGCAGGCTTACAATCCTTTATGCCGTAGAAGTATTCATCGTCTTGATCAACTTCGAATTCCAACTTCCGCCGACTGAAGACCACAACGCTTGGCTTTCTTGATTCATGGTATTCTTTCCGCGTACACAAAATTTTCCGGAGGACTTCATAGTGAACTACGTATTATTTATCTTCTTTCCTTCTCGGCTGTGGTCTTTTTCTTCTCTTCCTTCTCTCCGGATATGGAAAGGTCGTAGCCTCGTCACATCATAGCTTGCACAAGTTCGGCCAGCCGGCCACGAGGGCAAGCCCTCGGGCAAATGTTTCTTTGCACTTCTCACAAGCCAGCTTTTATGCATATACTTTAGGTATCTATAATGTTCTTTTATTATTTACAGCGCATTACAAGTATTTTTGAAAACTGCTGAGTCACATGAAAGAAGTTTCTGGAATATTACAAACTAAAGGCAATTCTAGAAATGTCTGGGATTGCGTGACAGATTCAGTGAAAATAATTCGGTCATCGTTACAAGTATTGGTTCAAACGCATTTTGAGATTGTCTTGAAAATCAATGCAATCACAAAATTCGTCAATTTTGCTTTGATTTTGAAGGAAACAAATGATGCGTCAATCATTTTGCCTTGAAATCATCGTTGTGCTTTTTTTAAGTAAGATTAAAAATTAAAGTAATTTTTTCCGTTGCTCACCATAGAGTCTCCTGTCGCTCAGTGGTTAGAGCATCCGGCTAGATTACGGAGGGTCGTGGGTTCAAATCCCATCTGGAAACTCGATTTTTAAAAAATTGTTTATTTCCTCTTTACATTTTTCAAAATTGCCTTTAAAACATGATTATTTTGACACATTTTTAGATTGCCTTGTTTTTAAGGCTATTTTTGAATTTATCCTTAGAAATAAGGCAATTTTCAAAATGCGTCAGAAACCCCCTTTGAATACTACTTGTGGTTAATTTGCCATTCTCTTTTTATCAAGTGGTCTTATTTTTCAGAAACAAGGCTAAAGGTCGGTGAGCTACACTTGGACAGATTAACACAAAATTAAGTGATAACGAATGATTTTTAATTTCATGTTTTAGAAATGGTTGGCATTCTCATCTCTGCACAAGCCTCTCTTCTCTGAACACAAGTCGGTTTATTTTGCTAATTCTCAGTCGCCACCTGCTGATCACAANAGTGTTCGGCCGCATGCACACCATGGCTTACCGCTGAGTCTAACTGCTCTGCAATGGGCTCCCAGTTGGTGACTGTGCACAACCAAGAAGAAAATGTTTACGTTCAGCATCGACATAACGGAGAAAGATCTTGGATTGGACTCAATGATCGGAGCGTGGAAGGATCATTTGTTTGGACAAATAAAGAATTAAGCAAATTTAGATTCTGGGCTCCCCAACAACCAAATGACTGGAACAACCAAGACTGCGTGCACACTCTTGGTGCAAAGCATGAGTACACTTGGAATGACGTGCCATGCAAGAATTGCTTCAATTTTACGTGCTTTACAGGTAATTAATTTATTGTCTTGCAAGTAGTTACTGTTTTTGAATAACACCTTGAGTAGTTATTGAAACTGAGGTGACCTTGATAAATGGAAACATGCTATTTGTTTTCAATCCAGACTTTCTTCTTTACTTGATGAGTACTTCTAGTTATTGGACGTTCCTAAAGATCTCAGTCGCAAAGCTTTTTAATGTTTTCCTTGCTGTGCTAAGATAATCCCTCCCACCAACAAATACAGATCTCTTCATCATTTTTTCTTATATGGTATAGGCATAGACTTAAATTGTTATATGTTGATTGTGGCAGACTTTGACGAATGCAAGACACACACTGACAACTGTGCAGACAACGCAGATTGTACGAATACCGCGGGGTCGTACATCTGTACCTGTAGAGCTGGGTATTCTGGTGATGGAAGAACATGCAACGGTATGACCAACTTTAAACTCTTGAAAGTAGAGAAAGTGTACCAGTTATCCGCTCTTATTTCTTATTGGCATGGTTGTACCGTTCTATCTTAGCTAAGAGATCAGTCTTCAACTTCTTATCAGAATAGTATTTAAAACGCACTTGCTCAACAAATCTAAGCAATCCGTTCAAAAGTTTTAGATGTAGACGAGTGTTTCTCAAACTCGCATAGATTGTGCCATCCACGGTGTTCGTTATAATAATCGGGTGCCTTCTATGTTGATATGTTTGGTTAATTCTTCTTTGGCTGTTTTCAATGTCACTCTTTATTCGCTTTTCAGTTGTTGTCCTGAGATTCACCGTTAACTTTAACAATTACAGACTGAGGGTTCACAATTAAGTGAGAGTAGGTAATATTTTTACCTGCAATGAGAGCAAGGAAATAGAAGGATTAATTACAGACTTAACTTACAGTCCTTCATTGAATTCCAATTAGCAATTACTGAAATATATATCTCAGATATAGACGAATGTTCCACAAACTCCCACAGCTGTGACGCCAGCGCTATTTGCACTAATAGTCAAGGGTTCCATAGCTGCGCATGTAAAGTTGGGTATTCGGGGAATGGAAAAACTTGTGTTGGTAAGTGGTCTATTTACGCAAATGATAATGAAATAAGCAGCACTTTTTAAGTTGTTCACCAAAAGACTGAAATGACATGTTCAATTGTTTCCTGTATGCTTAAAACGTTTTATTTTTGATATGCTATTAAGTGTTAATTCAGCACAAGTATGGATTGATTGGCATTATATTTACCAATTAGCCTTATTCAGACAAGAGATTCTTGAGGAAGTGAAGGCCGAGATCGGGAGCTCTAAATGTCCTCTTAAATTTACAAAACTCCTGAGGCTATGGCCACCAAACAAGAGAATAATAGTTTATATTTTCTTGCCACCAGACTGATCGCAATTCCGAGAAATCCTAATGAAAAGGTCTATATACAAATCAGTACTGAAACTGGAGTTTTGTATGCGATTTGTACCTTTCTTGCATCGTATTAAGCAACGAATCGCGCCACTTGAGATAAGAATCTCGCCCTTCTCGCGCTTCTTTTTTTGTTTTCTTTTTTTGTTTTGATTTGTTTTTTTTTTGGACTAAGGTCTGCAAAATCTCTAAAGGGCATTTTAGCAGATATATGACAGCAGAATGTGTAAAACTTTGACCTCCTCCTTAGTACATTTTCCTTCGGTTCCTGACTGAACGTTACTCATTAGGTTTAATCGTTAATCAAAATAAATAGTTCTCTGACCTATGGGGGATAACAAGTTATCAACGAGCAATTTTTCGAAAGTTGTATTTGTGTTTGCAAATACATGATTAAAAATTCTGTTTCGCTTCGTTGTTGGATGCTGTTGTTCCCCACCTCCCTTTTTTCTTTTTTTTCGGTTACTTAATTCATAATCGCGGAGCTGTTATTGTCCGCAGACATCGATGAATGTACCAGTGGTGTTCATGGCTGCCACCGCTTTGCGTCATGTATCAATAGTGCAGGGTCTTACAGCTGTTCCTGTAACAGGTATTACACAGGAGATGGAAAAACGTGCAGGCTCTCGGCATCAGGTAAAGAGCGTCTTTTGCGGGACGATAAACCAATAACTAGTTCGATTCACGGCCACTCGATCACTATTTACCTGCTGAAAATACAGGATAGATAAGCGTGGGTATTGTTTTAAGTTGACTTTCATTGGAAAGGGAGGAGTGAGAAGAAGTCTAGAGCCGTTTATACAAAGTTCACATTCTCCTCTAGACAATTAATGTATCCTTAGGACATAAACTGTAAAGAATGTAAGTGATTCCATCTCTCTCCATTCTCATGTTCCTTCTTCACGGGCAGGGGCTCGACTAGAATTATTTGAACCTCTGCAAGCAAAAAATGAAGCTATGATGTAGATAATAAAAAGACTAGGCATTTTTAAAGCTTGTTCAATTCAAATGTGGCCCGACTAGCAGACTGAACTTCGCATTTTTAAATTTCTACCTTTCTCTTGTTCCTTAGAATGTCAAAACTACCAAAGTCTGAATGGCGGGGACAGGCATATATCTTACGGAAATACTCATACATATTGTGACAGTGGACTCTCTGGCTGGTTCCGTTTTGAAGGTTCTGCAGGTACAAGAATGGCCACATCATGTCAGTCTCAGAACCGTTGCAACAGTCATGCACCTGGATATTTGACTGGTGGACATCCCTCAGTGGCTGATGGTCAGGTCACTAGACTGGTCTGTTTTCATTGGAGTTATAGTTGCTGCAATTGGTCAAGATACATCACAGTGAGAAATTGTGGTGCTTACTACGTATACTACATAACTGGGACGCCTGGATGTTCTCTTCGTTACTGCGGCACATATTAATTTTGTGTAGGGCTCAGGAGTCGAAATCACTTTGTCGCAGTTCCAAAATTAATAGAAATTTTAAACAATTTAACCATTGATTCCTGGATATCATTACATCTAATTCAAAAATCAGTTTTCAAATAGATAAGCATGGGTATTGTTTTAAGTTGATTTTAATTAGAAAGGGAAGAGTGAGAAGAAGTCTAGAACCGTTTATACAAAGTTCACATTCTCCTCTAGAAATAAGAGATATAATCAAGGTACCTCATGGTTTCTTAAAACGAGTCTTGGCGATAAGTAGATAAATAAATGGACGAGTAAGGGACAAAATAATCAAATATTGAATAGACTTAATGATGAAGTTTTGCTTTTATCGACGAATAAATCAAAGCAAAAAAGATAGAGTTTTTTCGCCAATGAGTTTCCGTGACAAATAAAAATTTGCTAGGTTTGAATTCAAGATTTGGGTGAGAATTTACAGTAAAACTACTTGAATGGATGAAGAAAAGACAAAAAAAGAAAAAAAAGAAAAAAAAGAAAAAAAACATGTTTTAAAGAGCTTGTCGAGAGCGTGGTTCGAGGAAACATCTGAGGAAGATTTCCTCTCATGGCGATTAAAACCTAACGAGTTTTAATGGATGCTAATCGGCGAGCTAACATTAGTATTAAAAAAAAGAAATTCTAACTTTTCTTCTGAGATACCTTAAGCAGATCCGTTAATCTTACGACTCATTTCTTGGATGTGGTTTTGGATTCTTAGACCTCCTAACCTTAACTATATCCAGTACTCATATTCGACAAAAAGGATGCTTTAAACTGTTCTTTTATTATACTTTGGATCAAATACAAAGCTATCAAAGCATCAGTTTCGGAAAATCATTCAGCTATTCTGCGGTGTAGCAAACCTTCTAAACGAACTTAATTTAAGATATATATATATATATGTCAAAAGGTCACTCGAAAGACCAACAAATAACAAGAACACCAAAACAAGACAAATAAAAGTAGAAGAAAAGAGGAAAAGGCGAAATGTTATGAAAGACAGAAAGAAAATTGATGAAAAGTTATTAAAAGAAAATCAAAACAAAAGCGAAACAGAAATTCAATCTGGGATCGAGGACATTGCTCTAAACTTGCCTCGTGTAGCTTATCTTCACACCAAACGAGAACTATAAAAACTTGAGGATACTATTTATAGAACTAGGTTTTAGCAAACCTTCGTTCGTTGAAAGAGGCAGAGTTCGCTTGGCTCGGTTGGAATATTTCACGGAGATCTTTGTAAATGACCGTAAGTGCCACTGATCGTAAGACATAATAGTGGAGACAATTTTAATACTACCGGTCTAATGATAAAAAGAAGGTCAAGTAATCACGACTTTAAGACCTTACAAACCAAGTAGCTAATTTAAATGGTATGCCTTACGTTTGAATAAGAATAAAATATATCGATCTACGGAGAAATAAACAGATAAATATAAACAAACAGCCAGATTAAATCTCAGCCATTCAGTTTGAATTTCCCTTCGTACATGAAACCCCATCCCATTCTGACCATAGCACTGATAATCAAAATATAACAAAATCCTCGAACCTGATTGGTTATGATTAGCCTGATTTGAGGACTTATAGGACAGTGTACGCTTCATGCTTGTAAGTGGACAATGTAATAGGAAGGTTAAAGGGATACTTTGAAAGTGGACAGGCCGTGTTATGTGCGCTCGCAGTTGCCGCGCTTTTTGCCGAGTTAACTGTTGTTGTTGCTAGTTTTGTTTTTGTTTTTGTTTTGAAAACATATTACTTATGTTTAGTTTCTTTCTTAAACTTGTCATAGTTTTTATTAATCAATCAATCAATCAGTCAATCAATTTATTACTGTCAAAACGTAGGATGGGGTTGCCCCTATCATCCGAGCCAGAAGCTCATGTATAAAACGTATGACAATAAAATACTAAGTTAAAAACGATACAATTAAGAAGTAAATTAAAATACAAGCACCTACATTAGGATAATATAGAAAGCTACAACCACCCGCGACCCAGTGAATTAATGAGAAAACTAGGAAACTCTAGGAAAACCCTAACTACATTTACAACTGGCTCTTAAGACTGGTAGATTAAAGGATTTTAAAAGCTTGCGAAATTCACTCAAATCGGTTGATCCTTTAACCCATTAATGGCCGCAGCTTTCGTGGAAAACTGTGTTTTGAAGCTAGTCGAGCAGATCTCGGGTCACTTTTGTGGTTTTAAAAGCTCAAACTTATCAAAAACCCCTTGACAGCTCGTGCACTCGACGGCCTTTCGATCCAAATGCAAAATGGCGGCCTGAAAATCTCGGGCAGGCGCAGAGAGCGTTTTTGGGTTGAATAGTCATGCCCCACTTACGACTTTTACTTTTCTCTCTTTCTCCTGCCCTTTTTTTCTCCTTTCCTTGCCTGAAGTCTCTCCTCGCTTGCTGGAAATTGAGTAGGCTTCATTTTGGTGTAGAGATTTTTCAGAAACTACTCGTTATTTTCAAAGCGCATGCTCGGAAAGGTAGTCGGGTACTGAAACACGATTTTCGCGCAGATTTTCAGGTCCAAGTGACATGGTTTTTTGGCTATTTGTCCCAGCTCCTTCACTCAATTGCGCTCATTCTGGTATCGTCTGTAAGATATTTTCAACCTGTTTAAGTACGTGCTCAAATTCGTGCTCCAGGGTTAAAAGTGATGACGTCAATAGGTTAATCTAAGAGGGAAGCTGATTCCACATATGCGAAGCCTTATATGTGAAGGATTTGAAATAATATCGATTATTGTAGGACGGTTGAGTGAGATTGTGATGGCTGTTCCTTGAATTGTAGCGCAATATATGAGGTTCGCATAAATCAGAAATATAGTCAGGCCCATTAACTTTTACACATTTAAAAAGGAGGACAAGAGTTTGGTAATATCGTCTCTGCTCCAGTGATTGCATATCTACAACAGACGATATAGAGTCATAATCAAAGCTATTTCCAAAAATTTGAAAGTACTTTTAGGGAATAATAGTTTGCAGATTCAAGTTTCTTGTTCAAGGTTTTGTCAATTCGTAATAAAAATGGACTACAATACTCGAAATGCGGAAGTATATAGGCCTTGTGCAGCATTAATGAGATATGAGCTGGGACAAGCTTTTTAAGTCGTCTCGGAGCTCCGATCTTGGTAGGGACCTTCCTTAAAACAGTTGATAAGCGGTCTTTAAAGGATAGCTTATCATCCAAACGAACACCAAGGATATTCAGGAAGCCACTTATTTTGATAACGGTGTCGCCAATATAAAGAGCAGGCTCATGAGAGTGTTTACCCAGGATCATGGCTTGGGTTTTCTTGCCGTTGACGAACAAATAATTTGAATCGAAGTAAACCAGGATGAGAGGTTCTTACGATCTTTGTTAAGAGACAGTTCCAATGCAGAAATGTCGGTGTTGGACGCGTAGGCTGTGGTATCATCAGCGTAGAGCCTCAGTGAGGTTAGTTGAATAGAAAAATTTAGATCCTTGATAAATATGTTAAATAGAAGCGGCCCCAGCAGGCTATCTTGAGGAACGCCGCAATACACCGGTAACCAATCCGAGAAAACTCCGTTGACCCTCACTCTTTACTTGCGACCAGACAAGTAGGAATGCAAGAAGGCAATTGCCTTCTCACCAACGCCATAAGCGCGTAGTTTGCGAGAAGCAGGTTATGACATGTGGAATCAAAGGCTTTGGATAAGTCGATTGCAATGGAGCTCATAACCTTTTTGGAATCTAGAGTCAGACGCCAGTCGTCAGCCATTTTGATCAGAGAAGTACAGCACGAGTGACCGCGAAGAAATCCAGACATGTTAGACGAAAACAAGGGTTCAAATACGTCGTACAGCTGGTCAAACATGACTTTTTCTAAGATCTTGGGTATGATGGACAGGACACTGATAGGTCTCTACTTTGATACTAGAGTGGCATCGTCTTTTTTAAATGTAGGTGTCACGTGGCTGAGCTTCCACTCCGTAGGCCACGTAGAGGTACTAATGCAGAGATTAAGTAGCTTTGTAAGGTGAACTGCTATAGATGATGCTGAATATTTAAGAATCTTGGGCATTATATTGTCGGGTCCGCAAGATTTTATTGCACCTCATCCTATCCAGAAGAGTTTAAATATATGAGACACGTACTGGTTGGAAGGAAAAGTTCAGCTTAAAGTCATGCGATGAAATAGAGGAGATGCGAGGGTGGGTCAAAATTTCTTCCTGCCTGAGCTTTAGGGCAGACTGGTCCAGGACTGGAGTAGAAAAAAATGAGTTAAAAAAGTTTGAAGGTTCTTTAATGACTTTACCGTCATCTATGAGGTGAATATCCTCTTGGGAGACGTACCTCCCTACGGAGAGTAACAGGGGTTTCAGATTTTTTCTAGATCCGTCGGGTGTGCTTGCATTAGAGGCAGAATCAGTGCAAAATCGTTTGATTGCGACTCGTTTCAGTTTGGTGACTATGCTCCTTTGTGTCCTATAGTGCTCCCACGCATCTTTAGTGGGATGGTGACGATATGTTTTGTACATTTTGTTTCTCTAGCGCATAGATTTCTTTATCTCTACTTTGATCCAGGGAAGCTGATTAGACTGGACTCTCTTACAGGGTGCGTGTTTCTCTACTATGACATTAAATAGTTTAGACCAGTGGGCCCAAACATCATCAATGTCGTCAAAGATTAAAGCCGTGTCCCCAGGGGTTGTCGCTAGGTCAGCCAGGAATGGGTCTTGATTAAAGTGTCTCATACTTCTGGCATCGACTACTTTGACTTTGGATTTGGGTAATGTTTGCCTCCTGACAATGTAAATAAGGTCATGGTTGCTCATGTCAAGTCAGTGTAGGGTGCCACTAGTAGTCTAGTGCTCCGGTCGATTAACAAGAACAGCATCAATCAGCGATAGGCCTTTTGCAGCTAGAGATCACGTGTTTAGATACCGCATAGCAACACCATACTGGAGAGCAAGCACTCTAGTGATCTCAGATAGTATAGAGGTCACAGAGGTCTGCATTCAAACAAAGAATACAGTGGATAACAGGTCAAAAGGTATCCCAAATCAAGAAATCCAGTAAGAAGTAGTCAATAGCTTCCCGGAGAGTATCAGCAGCAAAATCACTTCAAAATTCGTTTTTCGCTGATGCTCTCTAAGGAAGCCGTTCATTAAAACGTACAAGATTTCTCGAATTGGGATATCCTTTAACTTGTTATCCGCTGTATTCTTTGTTTGAATGCAGACCTCTGTGATCTCTATTTTGTCTGAGATCACTGGTGTGCTTGCTCTCCAGTATGGCGTTGCTATGCGGTATCTAAGCATGTGATGTCTAACTGCAAAAGGCCTATTCACTCGTGTTTGTCACTCTTGTCGGTTTATCTATTGTATTGGTGAGACAAAACTGGCGCAAAAGTCAGTTAAGGATTAGTATGACTGCGTAAATCAGTGTTGCAATCATTCTGAAGCATGTCGATGTTGACATCACTCGAGAATATAATTTCACTCTTGGACTTAAACATTTTATCTGCAGCAGTTGAGCAGGCAGAAATAAAGTCAGATACTCTGCAGGGGTTCGAGGAACGGTAGCAGGCACATATGTAGAATGACTTATTAACAAATCCTTTGACGTTTAAGAAAATCGATTCCACTTTCTCTGGTTCCATTTTAGGCTGCCGTCGAGCAACAACTGAATTGCGGATGTAGACAAGCATACCACCAGCGCCTCGCCTTCTGTCTCTGCGTATGATACGATAATGTGGGTTACAGAGCGGGGTTGATGAAATAAATTTATCTGATTTAGTTTGAGAAAGGAACAAGATATCGAAGCGGCACTCAATCAGTAGATCGATCACCTAGGTGATTTTGCCGAGAATACTGTTTACATTCAGACGGCCAATGTATAAGTTGTTCTTGTAGTAGCCCTTAATTTGAGACCTATACCAGGTTG